CAGCTACGGGGGTTCCCCCCGCGAAACATGGAGACGGTGCTGCGCTTGCAGGAACACCGTATGCTGACAGGTAAGTTGGCGGATTTCCAGGGCCGTGTTCTGCACGTGGGATGGCGCGGTGTTCGGGCAGAGGTTCAGGCCGCTTCGGCGGACGAGTCGTCGGCAGGAGTTGCAGTTCTGGCACCGAAGAAGGCGACTGTCATTGCAGCGCCCAGTCCGCAGGCAGGCGTTGCGATCCCGCATGGGCATCTTGCGGCCCAAGTTCATTGCGGAGCGCCCAGAGGACATACGTGCATGTGAGCGAGGGCCTGTCTGCCAGGAAGGTCGAGATCCTCGAGGCCTTGGCCAGCCATGTGAACGAGATGAGATCGATTGGGCGGTCATGGACCGTTGGTGGTGATTTCAACATGTCGCGCGCTGACCTCACTAACCAAGATTGGCTTCTTTCCATTTGCGGGCTGACTATCGCATGCCCAACCGCACTTGCTTGTCGTCCTTATGTCGCATGCAAAGGAGACCCCTCTCCCGTCGCGCAAGACGATGGAGCCGAAGGCCCTGTCTGCGGTGGCCAGGCCAGGTTGTGCAGGACATTCGCGTTCGCGGGGCTCGGCATCGCGCAAGGCACGGGAGGTGAAGACGAAGGAAGACCTGGCAGAGGCTTGGCTGGGGGCGCTGAATAAATACACTTGAAAACGAGCTCGCAGGTAGACATGAGACCGCCGGGAAGAACGCGTTGCCCAACCCGTCCAAGAAGGGCTACAGCCAGTACATCGCAGAGCAGAAATGCAGCGAGGCGAAGGCCCATGCCAGGGACGAGACCGAGTACGCATGAAAGTTTGCCGAGAGATGGGCGAGGCACACTCGGAGAGTGGACGCGTTATTCTTCAAGCTGCTGTCCGACCTACGTGAGGAGGTGAAGTCCACAGAGGACGCTGTCGGCGGTTTCCTTACGGCGCGGTCGGGGAGTTTGGGATCGGCGCCCCAGAGCATTGCGCAGGCTGCCCCAGGTGGCTCACCAGGGAGAAAGAGGATGGGGCAGAGGTGGGCCCGCGATCACGCCTCCTGGCCGAGGCGACCAAAGTCTACATACCATCGTGGAGCCCAGGGTGCCCCTGGCCGGGCAGGGTGGTGGTGTGTAGATGGCACCTGCGGGCAGATCTCCGAAGCCGTGACCTTCTCATGACGTGGGCCCCCACGAGGTCTGGACCCCTTCTTGGCGGCGCGCACAGAAGGGGGCAGGGGGAAGGGGGGAGACTTCTCAGAGGGAGGCTGCTTCTTAGAAGGCGGCGGCCCTGCATCTATGGATCGGCCCACACCCTCCAAGAAGCCGGGGTGCTTCTAGTAAGAAGCCCCCCCCGCCCCCCCCGCTGCGCGTGGCCGATCGTCCCGGGAGCCGCCTCCTCACCCCGAAGTCTTTTGCTGGCGTCCCCCAGGCCCCGTGAGGGCCCTTGGAGGGCGCACCCGGCCCGACACCGCTCTCCGCGGCACGAGGGGGGCGTGCGGCCCAGCAAGAGGACTGCACGACGTAGCCAGGACGAGGATAGCATCGGGCGAGGATCAATCGGGGATCCTTGGGATCCCGCAGCTCTGGAGGATGCCTCCGGCGCCGCGCGGCCTTCCCAGCGCTTTCGAACGGATTCTTCCTCGGAAGAAAAGCATATTTTTCGGGCCCTAAAGGCCCCCCTCGGACCCTAAACTGCGCCGTCTCTGCAGCCCTCGCTGCCCCTGTCCCCCACCTCCCTTACAGCCCCCATCACGCGCCTCCCCAAGTCTCGGGGGTGGCCAAGAGGGGGGCGTCCAAAAGGGGGGGGGGGCGCAAATCATGGCAGGCAGCATGTGCGCGGCCCAGGGGATGGGGCCGGGGACGTATTGAAATAAGAAGAGGCGCCATGACATCTGGGGAGATATCATGGCCCCCGCCATGATATCCCCCCCCCCCCACCAGTCATCACCCCCCTCTTTGCTGCCCCCGAATGTCCCGCCCCTTCGGCACCCGCCGGGCCAGGCTGGTCAGCACCTCGTTTCCCGGACTGTGCCGCAAGCGCTGGAACGCCCAGAGGCTGTTGACCACGTCCTCTGGGCCGCAGGCCCCCCCCTCATCTCTCCTGCGACGGGTCGAGGCCTGGAGGAGGGCCAGACGATGTCCCTGATCCTCCTCCTCCTCCTCCTCCACCTCCTCCTCCTCTTCCTCCTCCTCCTCCTCCTCCTCCTCCTCCCCTCCTCCTCCTCTCCTCCTCTCTCTCCTTCTCCTCCACCTCCTCCTCCTTCCTCCTCCACCTCCTCTCACCCCTCTTCCTCCTCTCCTCCTCCTCCTCCTCCTCCCTCTCTTCCTCCACCTGTCCTTCTGCTCGCCCTTCCTCCTCCTCCTCTCCTCTCCTCCTCCTCCTCTTTCTCCCCCTCCTCCTCCTCCCCCTCCGCCTCCTCCTCCCTCCCGGACACGTCGTGTTTTTTTTTTTTTTTTTGTGACGTCGACCCCCAAGGGTGTCGACACCTTGCCCTTCCCCAGTACCGGCTTTTTATCCCGAATCGTTTTCTGACGGGATCCCGAGGGCCGGTGAGAGGGCCTCGGAAGGCCGAAACTGCAGACAAAACCTCCCCTGGCGCGACTTCTTCCTTGCCCCGGGGGGTCTGGGGAGCCAGGCGAAGCCCATAATGGCAGCTCGTGCTCCCCATTTCGGGTCCCCTAGGTCCATGATGGCAGCTCGGGTTTCCCATCTCGGGGCCCCCGTTGGGGCCCACGGCATGTCCTCCTACACATGGTTCTCAGGACGGAGGAATTAAAGCAAATAGTCAGCACATTTTCGACAATAGCCAAACATAGTCCAGGCATGGTCCCCTATACTACTTTTTGGCGATTCTTCAAGCGAGGCCGGCAGCCCACACTTTTCCTTCGGCGAGCAAAAAGTGCTCAGGCCCTGCGCGCCGCCGCGCCGGCCCTGGGCGAGACAGCGGCGGCCCTCCAGGGCTTTGTCCCGGCCGTCTTGTGGCGTTGGGCCCTCGATCTCAAAAAGCCCCCAGACCCCCTCGGGCAATGAAAAAATCATGACGAGACATTTTTCGCTATTTTCGGCCTCTGCGGGCCCTTGCCGGGCCTCGGGACGGTCAGAAAACGATCGACCCAGGATGAAAAGCCGGTCCAAGGGAATAGGTCGAGACTTCTGGGGATCGACGTTATGAAAAAGGCATGACGTCGGGTGTCTGGGCCTTGTCTCCTTCCCACTCTTTGCCCTCTCCTCTCCCTTCCGCCCATTCCCTGCCTCTGCTCTCCGCGTCCAGTGCGGCGGTTCGTCGCCCTGTGGGGGGGCTCCACCGAAGGCTCCAGCAGCAGAATCCGCATGCCCCGATCCGGCACGCCGCTCACACGTTTCTTCTTGGCACCTCAGGGAGCTCCACCGAAGGCCCTAGCGGCAAGGTCCGCATGGCGGCCCTGCATCCGATCCGGCATGCCCCTCATACGTTTCGTGGCCCCTTAGGGAGCTCCACCGAAGACGGAAGTCACAGCTGCGGTTCTCAATTGAATATGGTTGGATCCTTCGCCAAGATAATTCGTTCTTGCTGGGCCTGCGGGAGGCTTTTTCCGCCTCGGGATGCGGGTCAGGGTGGACCTTGGGACCAAAAGACCCAACGCTCCGAACAAAAATGAAGCGGCTGGTTTTTGGCAGTTTTCGGCCTCTTGGGACCCTCGCCAGGCCGCAGGACCACTAAACAATGATTCAGGAAGAAAAGGCGGCCATAGGGAAGAGGTCCAAACCTCCGGGGCCCAGGCATCAAACAAATGAGAGCGGCAGGGAGGGGTCTGGGGACCGATTTTAAAGGGATGTAGCCCCAATCGCTTCGACACCGTTGCGTGTCTTGTGGTGAATGTTTTCTTTTCGGCGTTTCGACATTGAAAGAAAGAGGGGTGGTCTGGCTCCAGGACTTCTGCTTAGTGCGACTGTTTGGAACGGTGCTCCCATGGTGGATCGTATGGGAGGCGGGGCCACCGTGCTGACTCCACCTGCTTGAAACAGGCACCACGACCAGCCAAGATCTACTTCATGGGAGGCGGCGGTGCGAGGGCCCGCGCCGATCGGCAGAACAACGAATAAGAAAACGATCTCGTGCTTCTCGCAACGCCTTGCGCTGTTTCAGTCTCCTTCCGCGGCCGCCGTCTTCTCCCTCCCCGCGCTGCGACGAACAAGTTTGTTGTCTGCTTTGGCTCGGCACCGCTGCGAGTTGGGCCCTGGCCCTGACGAGGGGTGCTGCGCGGGGCAGGGGCTCCCCAAACCTGCTTGCGTCGTAAAATATCAGGACGGGAAGTTTTCATAATTTTCGGCCTTTCAGGGCCCTCAGCGGGCCCTGGGACCGTCAACAAAACGACTCAGGATGAAAAGCTGGTCCTGGGGAAAGGGTCGGGACTACTGGGGACAATGTGTTGAAAACATCAGGACGTCGCATGTCAGGGACTCGGCCCCGTATTTTCAAAAAAGGACGGTCATGCTGCGTGTCCGATGCAGGCCCGCGAGGGGGGTGGCCCCCCCCTCCCCCTTTCGGAAATGCCAAAGCACGGCCTGGAGACTCGCTACCAAACGGCGCTGATGCCAGCCTGGCCGCATCAGGGCCTCTCCGAATGCTCCCAAACTCAAGTCTCCTCGATCCCTCACCTCTGCGCCCTCCCGATTCTTGTGCCAGCGGGGGGCGGGGGGGCATCCGCCAGCGACCCGTGCACCCTCTTGTCTTGAGAGCCCACAGAAGACGTACGCGCCCAACCGCGTACATGAATGCGGACCCTCCAACGTCCGCGAGACCAGCTTCGTGACACGAACAAAACCAACGTGAACTCATTTACATGTACGTATTTTTCGCTCCTGATTATCTGCTTTGGACGCCCGAAATGGGTACGGCAAAAATGGACAAGATACCCAGCAACACGCGTTGTCCCGAACCAACAGCGGCCGCTGTTAGGCAGGCGGGCTTCTGTCTCAAAGGGACACACAGTCCGCTGCGAACCGACAGCGAGACCTGTTCAGAATGAGCAGGGACTGCCATCGGTCTTTGTGCCCATTCCTTCCGTATCCGATTCGCAGTTGCGGGGAAGTGCGTGCCACTGCCGGGGCTGGACACATCGGAGCGCGGAGCCGCGCCACACACGCGCCCCCACACCGTTTTTTCTTGCTGTCGGGGTGCCCGCATCGGGCGGGGCTCTGGGGCTCCCGGAAGGCCTCGGGGGGGAGAGCCACCGCGCCTACGAGACATGGCTCCCAGGGGGGAGGCCTGCGTCAGAACGGCCAGGGGCCATTGGGCCCGATTGCCGGGCCACTGCGCCAGATCAAGCGGAGGATCAAGCCCAGGATCCAGCCGCATCAAGAAGAGAATTCGTACTGAACTGGATCAGGCCTGATAGCGCGGGCTTCGCCGAGGCTGGGCTAGCTTGTCGACCAGGGATCTTCCACCGCATATTCTGAATTTCACCTCCCAAGAGTTGCATCCTAACCTGTAAGCCTCCTAGATGGGGTCGGAGTAGATGGGGTCGGAGGATCGCCGATGCATCGGCGACGCATCGGTGATGCATCGGCGATGCATCCGCGATGCACCAGCGATGCATCGTCGACGTCGGCGATGCATCGGCGACGTCGACGTGGAGCAAATCGGTCTGCTTCATCGAGCCGCACCGTCGATGCGTCGGCGATGCGGCGCGACCCTCCGACCCCACCTACTCCGAACCCCATCCGGGAGGCCTGGATGACCACTCCGAGCGATGTGTCAGACTTTTGATCCGCGGGTCGAGAGCGAGCCTCTTCCGATAGAAGCTAAGCGGGCCACGCACAGCTTTAATCAGCAGAGGGGGGGGCAAAAGAAGGCGATGTGTCAGACAGACGATCGCCCACTGGATGCCCCTGGCGTGGACCCCGCAGCCGAGCTACAAGAGACGACGGAGGCGCCACGCGCGGCCGCCCTCGCGCTCTCGCGCTGGCGCCTCGAGGGGAAGGCAGCCTCTGCGACCCAAGGCTGCGATCGAGCAGGAACTCCCACCGCTCCGGCACGCCTGTGGGCCTGCCACGACGCGTTCGCAGAATCCCAGACAGGTGCTGAGAACAAAAGCCACATTCTTGGAACGTAAGCCCGATGTGCTGAGACCAGGCGGTCTCGGCCAGAACTGCTCCGAGAACATGCCGTGCAGGCCACAGCAGGATCTTAGAACCTTCCTTCCCACACGCCCGACGTCATATGTTTCTTCCACTGCGTCGACCCCCGAGGTCTCGACCCATTCGCTCCCCGGGGACCGGTTTCTCGTCCGGAGTCGTTTTTTGACGGTCCCGAGGGCCGGGGACGGGCCTCTATGGAGGCCGAAAACAAGGACACGCCTCCCGTCGTGATGCTGCCGTGGCCCGAGGGGGTCCGGGCTGGTGGGCCGATGCAGGGCACGCCAGGACGCCGCGCCACTGCTCGAGGCGAGGCGCCAGCACCTCCGACGAGCCCCCTGCACGTGGACCGGGGCGCCGCTGGCAGAGGAGCGCGCGCCACCACTCGCAGAATACCTGCTCGCAAATGGCAGGGATCCGCCGCGGGAGATTTACGACCCATCACCAGAGGCCTCCCAGATGGGGGTCCGACTAGATGGGGTCGGAGGATCGCGCCGCATCGCCGGTACATCGGCAATCCATCGCCGATGCGTCGGCGATGCATCGGCGACGTCGGCGATGCATCGGCGACGCCAGCGTGGAGAACAACGGGCTCCATACCGAGCCGCATCGCCGATGCCTCGCCGGTGCATCGGCGATGCGGCGCGATCCTCCGACCCCGTGTGCTCCGACCCCACCTGCCCTGACCTTCCAGAGAGCTATTTTTTAGCACTGGAAACCTAAAAACCTAAAAAACGAAACGAAACAGCCTAAAACCAAGACGTAGAATAGCTCTGGGATAGGTTTTTACGTCGGGTGTTATTTTTTAGCCCTCCTGGAAGGTCAGGGTGGGAGGCCTGGAAAATTGCATCGAAAGGGAGACGTGTGGCCTTCGGACGTCTGCGCGCAGGCACTCTGCGAGCTCTGGAGCGCGCTCGGCGCCTTTTGGGCCCGCCACGCGCCGGCACCCCCGGGGGGGCGGAGCCCGGCCGTGGCCACGAGAAGCCCCGCGGCGACGAGGCGCGCGCGCGCGCCGGCCCGCGCCGCCGCCCCCCGCGCCCCCCTCGGCTCCGCCCGCTCGGCCCCCGCCGGCCCGTCGCGGCGTGCCTCGTGCCTCGTCTTGGGTCGGGCGTGTCCCCCTCCAGGGGGAAGGGGATTCGGGGCGAAGAATGGAACACAGACCAAGCATGCTCCCAGATCTTCAAAAAGACAGTCAGAAAGCCGTCCCCCGTTTGTGTTTTGAGACTACTTTTTGAAGATTCCGTCCGTATGGGGACACGCCCGACTTCGGCCTCGCCCCCTGGGTTAGACCGTGGGACAGCAACTCTATCAGACCAGCAAGGCACACAGATGGGGACCCGGGGCCTGGCGACAAGGCCCCCTGACGCCGAAACCGTCCAAAAGCCCCCCAGCGCGATGTTTCGTGGAAGAGGGAGGAGGAGGAGGAGGAGGAGGAGGAGGAGGAGGAGGAGGAGGAGGAGAGGAGGGGGAGGAGGAGGAGGAGGGAGGAGGAGGGAGGAGGAGGAGGAGGAGGAGGAGGAGGAGGGGAGGAGGAGGAGGAGGAGGAGGAGGAGGAGGAGGAGGAGAGGAGGAGGAGGAGGAGGAGGAGGAGGAGGAGAGGAGGAGGGGGAGGAGGTAGGAGGAGGAGGAGGAGGAGGAGGAGGAGAAGGAGGAGAAGGACCCGCGGAACCCTCGTGGGGGCACCGTGAAGGGCTCTCCGAGAAGCTCGCGTCCTGCGGCTTGCAGCGCGCGGCCGACCGCCCCAGGGCTGCCGCCAGCGCCGCCGGCGCCCCCGAGCGGCGCCGGCGGAGGCGCCCGAGGGCCCAGAGGCTGTTGGCGAGCTCCAAGGGGGTCAGCTCCAGGGCGCGGCGCGCCGCCTCTGCCTCTGGCCATCTCGCTGAGGAGGAGGAGGAGGAGGAGGAGGAGGAGGAGGAGGAGGAGGAGGAGGAGGAGAAGGAGGAGGAGACGCTGCTGGGCCTCCAGGGCCAGCAGCGGGCCTTCCCCGCGGTAGAGGAGCGCCCCGCACGCCCACAGGCTGTTGGCCAGGTTCGGGGGCCAGAGCTCCGCCACCTGCCGCTCAAGAGCCCCCGCCACCTCGTCGGGTATCTGCTGCAATCAATCCGTATCCAAAAACGCACGAGAAGGATGCAAGGGCCTTGGGAGGCCAGGGAGGCCATGCCGACACTTTGCGAGCGGGGCGCGGCCAGCGAAAGCGGCCAAGGATGGACCGAAGAGGCAAGGATGTGAATGTACCTTGGGAAGGTTGCCCATACTTATAATGCGGATTGACTGTAGACCGGGTCGATCCAGACCCTGGCCAGTCAGGCTCCTGCAAGATGCTGCAGGATCCTGCGCCCAAACCAGGTTCCGTGCGTCCCTGGCTCTGCAAGACCCTGCAGGAGCCGGCGCTCTGAGTGACCCCCGTTTGCATCGACCCCCGTCTCAAGGCTCCCGCCGCCACCTCGTCGAGGTGGTCCCTCCCGGGGCTGTGTCGCAGCCTGGCCAGCGCCCACAGCACGCTCGCGGCAGCCCTGGGGCCCATGGCCGGCGCCAGCTCTGCGCTCCTCTTGGGGACAGGGGGCTCCAGAACGCCGCCCTCCCTCGCCCCAGGGTTTGCAGCCGTCGTGTAGCGATAGCACGCACATGCAGGCCACCTTCTGGGTTTCCTGCCGAGCGCGAGCAAGATGAAGACGAAGCAGACTGAGAGGATGCCCCCCCGCCCCGAGACCTCCAACGTCATGATTTTGTCATGACGTGGGCCCCCGGGCCCAGCGAGGGCCCCTGGAGGGCGAGGATTGCCCAAAAACCTCGCGTCGTGATTCTTTCATGGCCCGAGGGGGTCTGCGTCGAGAGCGCCGCGAGTCCTCTCTATCAGCGCCCCGAAGCGCGGGTCTGCGCGCAGGCTGGCGCCCGCGCCCGGCGCGGCCCTCGCCAGGGTCACCAGGGCGGCGGACACGTGCACGTCGTTCAGCTCGGGGCGCCACCTCGTCGGAACGCCCAGGGTGCGGACAGCAAAAAGCCGGCACGATGCCCAACACAACAAATGCTGCCCAACACTGACAGCGGCGCCGCTGTTGGGCAGCCTGCCTCAAGGACAACGTCCGCGACGACTCCAGCAGCGTGTCTTGTCCAGAATGAACAGGAAATGCGGCCGGTCTTTGCCCTGAGATCCGAAGTAGCGAAAAAACTGCAGCATCGTAACACAATCACGCCTGGAGCCTTAGACCTCGTCTTTCTGCGTTATTTTTTTGCGCCGGATCGCCTTCCCGAAAAAAATGGGTGGCAGGGTCTCAGGGTGTACCCACTCTTTCCGTACCCATTTCGATCAAGCCTTAGGTCGGGCATGTCCTCCTACAGGGGGATTTTGGACGACAAAGCAAAAGAATATTCCGAAGCAGTCAAAAAATAATAGAACATCGTCCCCAGACTATCTTTTTTACTATCTTTGAAAATTCCTTCTGTAGAGGGACAGGCCCGCCGTAAATCAAGACGAACCTCTGGGCCAGAGCCAGCAGGGCGTCGGTGGAGCCGGCGAGGAACAGCAGCCTGGTCAGCGCTGGCGCCGAAGGGGACTTCTCCGCCGAGGCCGCCGCCAGCCCTGCGCCGCCGCCCTCCGCGGCGGCCCTGACCCCGTCCGCTGCGGCGCTGGGGCGCATCGGCTCCATGGTTCGAGTGGGGGATCGACTAACCGGAGGCTTTCCTCAGGAACCCTAAGCATTCCCCAAGGATTCCGATGCAGCGTTCAGGACCATCTTTATCAGAATCACGTCATCATCTTCATCATTGTACTGAGATCTCCGCGAAAACGTTTACCCCTCTGGACCCCGAACCTTATTATCCCCAGGGGGTGATTATCAGGGGCACAGGCTTACAACATTGACTTGCGCCATCTTCAAGGAAGGATAAATGCAACAAACGAGCCATGTCCGCAGGTGCACGGGTGATGCTACGTAGATGTCATGGATTCGACGAAGAAATCGATTCTGGAGTTGATCAATCCCACCAGCCCTTCGGGCGTGAGTGGTTTAGAGAGCCCGCTCTGTCCTCAACCCCCCTTCTTCCCCTTCGGGGAGGGGTTTACCCCTCCCCCTACCCCCTCCCCCTGGACCTGGATCGGGAGTCCCGAGCGTGGTCAGGGGAGTCTTTTTCGACGCCTGGGAGGGCCAAAAAACGACGACCCTCACGAGGATTCTGGCCCCGAGGGGGGGGGGACCGTTTGGCGCCTCCGCTCGTCTTTGAAGCCAAAATCATTGATTTTACTACGGTTGATCAATTCTGTAGTCGATCCCCTGCTCGCATGGTCTCCAGCTCGCCGGCGCCGGGGCGAGCGGCCAGCTGGCCGCATGCGGCGGCCAGTGGCCGCCCGGCCTCCGTGGTCCAGCGCACCGTGGCCTGGATGCCTCTGGCGCGGAGCGCGGAGCGGAAGTTCCGCAGCTCCCCGTCGCTCGGGGTCTGGAAGCCGAAGCCCTGCTCGTGGGCGAAAAACATAGCCGCATGCGCGGCCTCGCGGGCCAGGCCCCTGGGCCGCGACCCCGCGGATGCGGGGCGCTGCTTTGCGCACGACCCGCGCGGAGCGAATCCGTGCGACCGCGTATCCCTGAGATCCGACATTGCGAACAAAAAAATAAATATCGACAGAAATCGCGCCCAGAGCCCTAGACCCCATTTTCCTGCGCAGTGTTTCGAGCTGGATCGAACTGTGACAATCCCGGGGCCCGAAACTGGACGAAAACGCGCGGTGTAGAGAAATTGCATCGCCCCGACCTCAAGGATCCGCGGGATCGCGCCACACAATCCAGACCGCGAGGGCGCGGACACGGATATGTTTGCCGCTCGTGGTCTGCCCCGAAGTGGGGGGCTCCTCGACGATTGAGGCAGACAAAATCTCAGACAATATATTTATGCAACGGCTCTCGATTCATGCTGACACCCCTACAGAAAGCGAGCTGGTGTTTAGATCCTGTCACAACGCAACTTGACGAGGGGGTTCGCCGCGCGTGGCCTGCCCCGCGCCCGTGGGGTTGTAGGGGATCAGGTTGACGAGCGGCCGCGGCCCGCCCGGCGCACGGCCCGCGGCCAGCAGCTGCGCGAGCTCCTCGTTGTTGTTGTTGTTGTTGTTGTTGTTGTTGTTGTTGTTGTTGTTGTGATTGCAGTTGTTTTTTTGTTGTTGCTGCTGCTTTTGCTGTTGTAGTTGTTGTTGTTGCTGTTGTTGTTGGTGGTATTGTTGCTGTTGTGATCTATGTATCAGTTAGATATGGAAAATCTAAATAATTATGGATCTAGAAATGCATGACGTATTTCCCATTTGAACATATGCATCTATACACATGTATGACACACAATACCCAACTAGTCGACCATATATCCGCAAGAGAACAACACCCCTGGGAAGCATTCCAGAAGGCCCTCGCACGCATCCCCGAAACTCCTGACCCACAAGCCAGGCATGGTGGCACGACTCTTGCCGAATCCGCTTTTTGGGGGGTCGGCGAAAAGGCATAAGCATCTTGACTGTGCATACACATGTGTATGTATGTATAGGTATATACATACATACATACATACACACACACATACATACATACATACATACATACATACGTACATACATACATACATACATACATACACACCGCTATACATCTATACACACATACATACATACATACATACATACATACAGACATACAGACACACAGACAGACAGACAGACATACATACAATCATACATACATATGCATACATATACATACATACATACAGACAGACAGACAGACAGACATACACACATACATACATGCATGTATGCATTCATACATACATACCTACATACATACATATACACATGCATGCATGCATGCATACATACATATATATATATATATATATATATATGTATACACCTTTGTATCTATAGTGTATTCCCCAGGCAGTGTCTCTCTTGAGGTCTCAATTGGTACCATAGGAGCTGGACTCGTGTGCCGCCCCGGCCAGGGCGTGGCCGCCCCGTCGCCCCCCGCTCGCCGCCCTGTCCTGGGCTCGCGTGCCGCCCCGGCTGGCTCGCCGCCGCCCGTCGCCTCCGCCCGTCGCCGACGCATCCTGCTCGCAAGTCTGACTCTGCGAGCCCCGCAGTTTGCACCACACAGATTGCGCCACATCGGCGACCTCTCCTCATAGAATGATAGGATCTGCCCCCTCCCCGGAATGAAAGCGTCCCCCTGTTCGCATTGCAAGTTGCATCTGGTTCTGCCCGCCCGTCCATCCAAAATATGAAACCGTACCATCCCACACAAGCCGGTATCGCCCCCCTCATCATTTTATCACAAATCATAAGTTTTTGTTTTCCTCCAAAAATCCTTTGCAACAGACTGGACGAAATGCACACGCGCGCGTCGCCGCGGGCGCAAGCCAAAATCCTTCAAGAACCAAAGACGTTTAGCAAGGGTTTCAAATTCGATCGTCCCAAAAACATATGAAATACATTGTTTCGCAACAGAACTTCCAAAACAAACTTGCGCCCGCGCTCTTGCGAATTCTTAAAAAAAAACGATTGTTTTTTCTCAGTCCTGTCATACCGTGCTGCCAGACGGACTTCTCGCGCGCGCATGCCGAAATCGTTCGAACGCAAACCCTTGCAAAACAACGGGGCGAAAGATACACGCGCGCGTTGTCGCGCGCAATCCTTCAAACAACGTATGTTTCGCACGGGTTTCAAAATCGAGTGTCCAAAAAACATACACAAACACTTGTCCTCGCGACGCCAATTTGTTAAACATGAGCCTGCGCCCGCGTTTCTGCTACGTTTTGAAAAACCCTGCGGTTTTCAACATGCTCACTACATTCTGCCAAACGGGCCTCTCGCGCCGCATGTCGGAATCATTCGAGGGCCCATGCGCGCGTGATGGGGGGGGCACGATCCATGTCAAATACAACCATGCTGGCCACTCTCTCGCGTCGGCCGCGCGCGCATGCCGAACTCTTTCCAAAGCCTTCGTCGCCGACGCGAAAACGCCGTCATCGTCGCCGGCGTGATCAGCATCTGCATCCGCACTGGCCTTGCCGTCGTCGTTGTCAACATCGTCACCAACATCGCTATTATCATCGTCGTGTCTACCGTGGCCGACGTTGCCATGATACCGCGCTCGTCAGAATCGTAAATAAACCTTGGGTTTCGTAGAAATTTCAAAATCGAGTGTCTAAGAAACATAAAGCAGAAGGTTTCGCAGCTCGGATTTTCAAAAAAACAAGCAAACAACAAAAGCTTGCGAGCGCGCCCTTTCGATTTTTTGAGTAAACCAGAAAGGTTTCCTCAATGTTCGCAGAATCCCACCAGCCCTCTGGGCGTCGGTGGTTTAGAGAGTTTCCTCTTCCACCCCTGCTTCTTCCCCGTCGGGGAGGGGTTTACCCCTCCCCCTGCCCCCTCACCATGGACCTGGAGGGGGGGGGGGTCGCCAGTCGTCACTGCGTCCAAAAGGACCTCGGCGAGGAAGCCAAAATCATGTGTTTCACTATGGTTTTGGCCCCATTTTGGCCTCCGGGGGGAGGGGACCCTAATTGACGCTCCCCTCTTGTTTGATCGATCTCCTCCAAAATGGCCCCAAGAGGTCCCAAGATGGCCCCAAGAGGCCCCCAAAAGGCCCCCAGGAGGCCCCCAAGAGACCCCCAAGAGGCCCCGAGAGAACCCCCCAAGAGGCACTCAAAATGCTCCAAGAGGCGTCGGCGAGAATGCCAAACCGGCCTCAGCGAGGAAACCAAAATCATTTGTTTAACTATGGTTTTGGCTCCATTTTGGCCTCCTGGGGGTCCTCCAAGATGGCCCCAAGAAGCGCCCAGGAGGTCCGGAAAGGCCCCAGAATGGCCCCAAGATGGCCCCAAAAAATCCCCAAGAGAGGCCCCCACGATGCCCCCAAGAGACCCCCAAGAGGCCCCAAGAGACCTTCCAGAGGCACCCACGATGCTCCAAGATGCTCCAAGAGCCCCGGCGAGAATGCCAAACCTGCCTCGGCGAGGAAGCCACAGTCATTTGTTTTACTCTGGTTTTGGCCCCATTTTGGCCTCCTGGGGGGGGGCGCTAATTACTGCTCCCCGCTTGATTGATCGATCTCCCCCAAAATGGCCCCAAGAAACGCCCAGGAGGCCCCAAGAGGTCCCAAGATGGCCCCAAGATGGCTCCACGAGGCCCCCAAGAGGCCCCAAAAGACCCCCCGGAGGCACCCAAGATGCTCCAAGAGGCCTCGGGGCACTGATTAAGATGACCCCAGAAGCGCCTGGGGGAGCCCAAGATGACCTCCAAGATGGCTCAAGGTACCCCAAAATGTATCAGAATGGCTTCCTTTGTGTGCTGCCCACTTCCCCTGATCCAGGCAATTCTTCTGGGCATCGTTTTCGGATGGGCTGGTGGGGATTCGCGAAGCGTCAACAATTCTACCAAGCGGGCTGGGCGCGCGCATGTCGGATTCGTTCGGATGCCCTTGCGCGCGCGCCGTCGAAATAATCATTTCCAACAAGCTGGACGAAGTGCACGCGCGCGCGTCGTCGCGCGAGCATGCCAACGTGTCAAATCGCACAGTGCGGGCCATTGTCGCGCGTCGGCCGCGCGCGCGTGTCGATCTCTTTCCAAAACCTTCACCACCGACGCGGGGACGCCGTCATCGTCGCCGGCGCAATCAACATCTGCGTCCGCACTGGCCTTGCCGTCGTCGTTGCCAACCTCGTCACCAACATCGCTATCATCATCGTGTATACCGTTGCCGGAGTTGCCATGATACCGCGCCCGCCCAAGTTGCCGACTCGCACTGATGTGCCCGCTGGGGTGTGCCCAGCGGTCAGCGCCATAGCGGCCGCGTCGGTCGCGCCAAACTAGCTGGCCGCTGCGCGCGCGTGCTTGGGCTGGCGCGGCCGCGAAGATGCACCAGCCAACGCCAAGCACTCATCGCAATCGCCGTCGCATGGGTTTTGCAAACCAAGTTGCGGAGTGGGTGGGATGTTTGCAGAGCGCGGGAGGTGGTCAATCGCGCTGCAGGGTAACCAATTGCACCACGTAGCCCGCAAAAGTACTGCACCACAAAGATTGCAACACATATCTTGCACCACACATGCTTTTCCACATAAGATGCAGTACGTAGCTTGCACCACGTTGACTGCACCACATACATGGCGCCACGTAGACGGCACAACATAGTTTATACCACGCATAATTCTCCTTTCTAAAAGAATAATAGATTCTACCCCCCCCCGGACTTATCGGTTACCCCGCGCGTGCTGTAAATTACACATGATTCTGACCACATGTCCATTTTAAATATGAATTCATACCATCCCAGCCAAGCCGGGTTCCCCCCCCCTGCGGGTCCCTTGTAAAAAAACACTATGCGGTGACATTTTTTGTTCCAACATCGCACTTTTTCGCGAATCCCTTGCAAAACATTGGACGAAGTGCGCACGCGCGCGTCGTGGCGCGCGCATGCCGAAATCCTTCAAAAACCTGCGGTTCCGGAGAGATTTCAAAATTGAATTTCCAAAACACATATAAAAACACATGGTTTCGCAACACTGATTCAAAACACAACTTACGCGCGAGCTCTTGCGAAATCTTAAGAAAACCATAGGTTTTCCAAGATTTTCACAAAATGCTACCAAACGGGCTTCGCGCGCGCGCATGTCGAAATCTGTCGAACGCTCTTGCGCGTGTGCCGTCGCGAGAATCCTCTGCAAAAAAATGGGACGAAGTGCAGACGCGCGCGTCGTCGCGGGCGTATGCCGAAATCCTTCAAAAACCTTCGGTTTCGGAAGAATTTCGAAATCGTGCGTCCAAAAAACCTACAAAAACACAAGGTTTCGCAACACGGGTTTTCAACAAAATTGTGCGCGCGCGCTCTTGCGTCGTCGTCGTCGTCGTCGTCCTCCCTCCTCCCTCGTCGTCGTCGTCGTCGTCGTCGCCGTCGTCGTCTTCTGTCTTTCCTCGTCGTCTTTGGCGTCGTCGTCGTTTCCGTCGTCGTTGTCGCCGTGGTCGTCCTTCCTCCCTCGTTGTCTTCGTCGGCGTCTCGTCGTTGTCCCTCCTATTTCGTCGCCGTCGTCGTCGTCGTCGTCGTCGTG